CAATGTCTGCTCCAAAATATTTTAAGCTATAAGATCTCTATGTATTTTCTGCATCCATGAAGCCTCTGTTTACACAAACTCAACTCAACGAATGTTCCTTCCTGAGAATCTCAGGAGAGCTATTATTGTGTGCTTCAAAGCTTTGATTTTAAGTTTCTGGATCTTAGTGGACTTATTCCCCGTATTCAGCACAGTCCACTTTCCAGCAAGCAGCTTTATCTCCCAGACTGTCAGACCTCTGGCCGGGTTCCAGCCCTAAACTTTGCCCCTGTTTTAAAGTACTTATTGATTTTACACAAATACTGGTTCCCACAATCATTGGTCATTTCCCTTATTGTTCTGAAGTCTACCTTCCAGGTTTAGAGGTAAGAACCTTCTAGATTGCTATACACTATTGATAATTCTCTGGGGCAAATGTGCAAGCATGTTTTTTTCCTTTCAAGGGCTATCTTAACTTTATTTTGTTCATCCACCCCGTTCACCTTGGCTCCCTTGTTATCTGTGGATCTGGCCAATGGTATGCATGAGGTCTATATGCAGGGATGAGGGGCCCTGGGAGTTATAGGCCAAAACCTCCTGGAATGCATAGTTAGAGATGAAAGGATACTCTCCAGTGCTACAAATCCAAATAGAATCAAAACACTGCCTGAAAGAATGAACCGCTCTGGCCCTATCCTAGTTATTGTTTATATTGGCCCTAAGGCTAGTCATGTAACAGACCACCCTGACCTTCACCAGTCCTTCTTCAGCCCTTCCCCTGTCCCTACATGAATTATTGCATCAATGTCTTCCCTCTGTCCTGTCATCTTGCTTTGCGATTCTATCAATGAGAATCCACCAAAGCTTCAATCTGAGGTATCTACTTGAGATTATCTCCCACTGAGGGCTCTCAGGCAAGGGCAGTCCCTCTGCGCCTTCTTCTTGGAGTTTGAGCTGAACACATGATTCTGAGTATCTTTCATCCTTTTCTCTGTGCCACAGTTGTGAACTGTGACAAGTGGTGCCCTGTATGAGGAATAGCTTGGTGAAACTCAGGGCAAGTGGACTGTCCTCCCAAAACCTGGAAAAGGACCAAGGGTGCATGTGACACTTCATCCACATAAGGGAACAAAGCAGTAGTGCAATAGCCTGGCACATCTCAGCAAGGTTGCAGGTTAGGCACATTTGTCCAGAGGTCTTTTATCTGTCCAATTGCTTGGTAAGTAGGGACAGTTCATTTGCTCTTCTTTTTGTTCTTTTATTTGCTTTCATATGGTGTGGATCAAGCCTTACCCAAAGAGGAAAAGCAACTTAAGCAACATTAACAATGTCTCCTAAAAACATCTGGATGCAAAGTTCCTGAGCCTCTAGTAATTAAATTATTGATAATTAATCAACAATAACATCCCTGGTTGCTTTGGAGGATGCCCTGGAAATAGAAGACTGCGGATATGGGGGCCAAAAATTCAGACAGTCCTTAGGCCCTGGAAAAGCTGCGTGCCCACCTACCTGGTATTTTTGCAGGGCCACTATTAAGTCTACTGCAGCAGAAGAAGTCCCATGAAAATGGCTTTCGCCTCCTCCCTCAGTTGCCTCTGGCCCCCTAGGAGACCAGAAGAGGTGGCAGTTGTCCTAACATTATATCATGCACCAGTTGGAATGATTTTGAAACTAGAAAAAAAATCCCAGGAAAATAAAAAAATTAAAAAGAGAAATTAAGGATGACAAAAGTCAAGCCAGAAAGTTATGCTAAATTGGGACATATTTACAAGGAGAAAGGGACCTCCGGGTGTATATTTTACAAAGACTCAAGCATACCCACATATGAACCCAAAACTACAAATGTTAGAGGACTATCTCTAAACTGTTCCATGATATTTTTCTCCTCTCTCTTGCTCTTTCTCAGGAAAGTTAAAAAGTAGTCACTCAGGGGCTGAGAGATAGCTCAGTAGAATAAGTGCCTGCCTGGCAAGTGCAGGGTCCTGAGTACAGCAAATCCCTTGTACAGAAAAACAAACAACAACAACAACAACAAAAAAAAAAAAAAACAATAAAAAAGTCATTCAAGTTGTTCATTGGTTTCTGCTTTAAAGTTCACTGTAGCCTTTGTCTTCTAGGGGGTGTTTTGCTAAGGACCAGAGACCTATCCTGAAAAAGATTTTGTCTTGATTTTATGCCTTTGAGGTGGACATAATTTGGTTCTTTGTACTCCAGGGAAATTTTGTTCCCTGTTGCTATTGTTTTCTGAGGCCAGTCTTCCTGGGTGCTGAGTTTTTGCTTCCCTGGACTCCTCCATAGTGAAACTCACCTTACTATCTCTGGGCAGTGTTCTCCAAAGGTATGCTTCTCATATTTGCAAAGAATAAGTATAAACATGGAAATAAACATAAAAATATAAATAAATAAATGTAGGCCTTTCTACCCTTAGAGAGAACTGGAAATGAACTTCTTTCATTTCCCTCTCTCTCTTCGGGAATTCTGTTTCAGGAGGACTGGGATGTGCGGATTCCACTTCCCTTGCCTCTGCATATCCATCTCATATACCTCTGGCACCTGCACAGGTATTAGATTGCTTCTTGGCTGGAAGAATGAGTCTTGTTATGAAACCTTTCCTAAGTGAAGGTCTCACTTGGACAAGTGTACACTTGGGCTGAAAAGCACTGCCACTTACCCTGTTGGTTTGAATCTTAAACCCTCCAAATATAATACCTTCATGTGGTCCCAATTTACAGGAGTGACACAGTAAAAGGAAACCCTTCAATCAAAAGTGAGGAGACATGTGAACAGAAGCACAAGTGGTGTCTGCCACTTGGGTGCAGCTTCCCCAAAGTGAGGTTCAGATGGGAAATCAGGAATGCTGCTTCGCTCAGGAGCAACGTATCCCAAGCAGTAGCTCTGGAGCTGGGGCTCTGCTTTCCCACTTTAGTAGGAGACAGTTTCATGTCTTCTGTAGCTCACACTTGAGAATTAATTTTCAGAACCCATTAAGATGATGGTGCAAAGTAAGGCTGTCTCTCGACATGGGGGTGGGGCTTTTTGCATGTTAAGCAAGTGTTCTACCACTGAGCTGCACCCTCAGTCCCAGCAATGCAATTTTAATAATGTGACAGAAACAAAATGCACAATGGCCACGGCTGAGCTGAGATTTAAATAGCATGCTTGAACGTTCTCATTATTCTACAAAATATTAAATGAATTAAATGATTCCTACCAATGTTTAGAAAAGAATAAATACAGCAAATCAAATAAAGGAGAAGACAGTGTATGGAGATAAAAATGAGGATTCTATTGAAAGAGTTCGAGGACAAGTCTGTTCAGGAGACATTCTTTTTAAGAGGTACATATAAAAAAGGATAAACTTGAGTCATTCTTAGGAAAACGGATACACCTGGAACATAATGCTAAGTGATACACATCAGATGGATGCAGAAAATTGTATGTCATGGATTCTGTTATATAAGAAACCCAAAATATATATTTTTTTAATTTGAGAGAGGGGCTCACTATATAGTTCAGGGTGGCTTTGAATACACGTTGTACCCCAGCTGGACTTAAAATCACAGCAACCCTCCTTCCACCTTAGTCTCCCAAGTGCTAGGATTACGGGCATGGGTCACATCATGATCATCCGGTTTCCAGACATGGTGACAGATGCCAGCAGCCAGAAGAAGTGGTGCAGAAGCATCCTCAGGCACACCCCGGAGCCCCTTTCAAAAGACGGAAAGAGTTCTGTGAGAAGGAGTGGTGTTCCCACAGAATGGAGGCAGCAACAGTAATTATGAGGAGGAGGGCCTGAACGCGGATAAAGGCATTATCATCCATGTTGTGCTAATAAATACAGTGATCTGTGTCTTGCAAGATCAACAGAAAAATTAAAATAAAACTCAAGTGACCCAAATTAAGTGGAAAATCACAGCCCATAAATATGAAAACACAAACAAACTAACTTAAGTTATGGATGAATGGATAAAGAAAACGCTATCAATCTATCAACTATCTTTGAGTAGGATTCATCCATAAAAAGGAATAATACAATTTTTGGTTAAATGTATGGACCCAAAGGGCATGATATTAAGTGGAAAGCATCAGGTGGAGAAAGGCAAATATTTCAGAATTCCAATCATCTCTGAAAACTAAGTAAGTTGATCTCACAGAAGTAGAGAGTGCAATGGTGGTGGCCAGAGGACTGAAAGCTTAGTGGACAGGAGGAGCAGAAAGAAACTGCTCCTTGAGCACAGTAGTACAGGGAGCAGCGATTTCTACCGTCTTATCACACAGTGACGTGAATCTAGTTACAACTAATCTGTTGTATAGTTTAAGACAGGTAAGGGATTTTGAATTAATCCTAACACAGAGAAATAATACATGCTTTAGGTGATGGATATGCTAGTACAATACTTTGCATACCTTACTGACACTGCGTTCTTTTCGATAAATGTGTGCAAATAATTACAGCTCAGGCTTCTTTATAAAGCTTCAATTCTATTAAGCCTATTAATTCTAAAAGAGTTCAAGCTTTACATGGGTTGAAATGGAACTTTTTCGACTGCCTTCCTCATGTTGGGCAGACTCCGTCCGTTTTTATTGGTATGTCTCAACATTCAACCTGCTATCTTCACAGTGCAGCATTTTCCTGAGCAATCTCCTCTATTTTTCTCATAGGAAACTCAAGTTTACAAATACTTTCCCCGCTGAATTTTCAGTCCTAGCTTGATCCTGGGTACACCCTGGTGAGTATCTTCTAAGAAACTAGACCTCAGCAGGTCAAAAACTTGAGTGCGCATTCTGACTCGCAGGCGCGGCCCACCTGCAGGGGCCATCCTCCCCTCTCTCTACTCTTCCCCACTACTTCTTTAGCCCCAACATGAGGGCTTGAAGGACCAGAGCGGCCAGTTGCTTCTCCTACAGACCCTCCCCTGGGCGCGCAGCCCCGCCCCTCCCTCCAGGCAGCCTGCCGACCCGGGGACGCGCAGGCGCAGAGTCCCCAGCGCCACCCCGCCCAACTCTGCGGAAGGCGCAGCGCTGGCCTCCGCGCACTTCCTCTCCGGGAGTCCGTGCTGGGAGCGCCCGGTACGAGAACTCCAGGACGCCGAGGCCCTGACCTGGTCAGACAGCGCAGAAATGTCCGAGCAAAGTAAGGACATGGGTGACCCCAACTTTACTGGCGAGGGCCCCAGCCCAGGGGCGCACGGCAGCCGTGGGGGGCCGGTGGGGGTCCCTCTGCCAGTCCCTCCGGCCGCGCCCCTCACCCCGCCACCGAGCCCTCCTGCAGGTCCGAGCGCTTCGCCGCCGCCCCAGGCCGAGATGGAAGAAGTGGACCCGAAGATCCTGCAGCAGGCCGCCGAGGAGGGCCTGGTCTACCAGCCTCCGAGCGCGCCCCAGCCAGGCCCCGCGCCGCCCGCCCCGGCCCAGCTGGTGCAGAAGGCGCACGAGCTCATGTGGTACGTGCTGGTCAAGGACCAGAAGAAGAAGGTCATCTGGTTTCCAGACATGGTGAAGGATGTCATCGGCAGCTACAAGAAGTGGTGCCGAAGCATCCTCAGGCGCACCACCCTCATCCTGGCCAGGGTGTTCGGGCTGCACCTGCGGCTGGTCAGCCTGCACACCATGGAGTTCGCGCTGGTCAAGGCCCTCAGCCCCGAGGAACTGGACAGGGTGGCGCTGAACAACCGCATGCCCATGACAGGCCTGCTGCTCATGATCCTCAGCCTCATCTACGTGAAGGGCCGCGGGGCCAGGGAGAGCGCCGTGTGGAACGTGCTGCGTATCCTGGGGCTTCGGCCCTGGAAGAAGCACTCCACCTTCGGGGACGTGAGGAAGCTCATCACCGAGGAGTTCGTCCAGCAGAACTACCTGAAGTACAAGCGCATCCCCTACACCGAGCCCCCCGAGTACGAGTTCTTCTGGGGCTCCAGAGCCAGCCAGGAAATCACCAAAATGCAAATCATGCAGTTCCTGTCCAGGGTCTTTAAGAAAGACCCCCAGGCCTGGCCTTCCCGGTACAGAGAAGCTCTGGAGGAGGCCAGAGCCCTGAGGGAGGCTAGTGCCCCTGTCCCCTGCCCCCGCAGCAGTGTCTCCGAGGACTAGCAAGGTCTGGAGGCAGATTCGCAGTTTCTGCCCCTCCTCAGAGCTGGGAAGGGTGGGTGGCTCATTAGCGCATTCAGAATTTACAGCTCAGTATTTCCTGTGTAACCTTTAAGTTTTCAGTACTATGCTTTGATACCTTTCCTGCAATATTGTATTCATTTGGATACTGCTGAGTAGCGTTTAGAATTTATGCATGTTTGTTTATAAGTAAGTTCATTTGGTGCTTTCGCTTTTGTGTATTCTTGGATTATTATTCTTGTTTTGTACCAGACATGTGCTAAATTTATGAAGTACATTGTACACTTTCTTATCTTATTCTTTGTATGGGACCGATGATGTGTGTTGGAGCAGACTGCCCCTGAAGTTGGGATGAACTCAGGAAAGCTGGCCTGCCCAAGAGAAGAGTCGAGGCCCCTGCCTCTTGGTGACCTTGCTGGGCACAGAAAATCTCTGTGCAGAGTGGACTGATTTGGACTGGGACGGTCTCCACGTGGGCAGTTGGCACACCTCACTACACATACACAATGCCACCATGAATAAACTTTCAGCATTAAAGATTCTTGTGATACAATCATTCCTGGAAAAGTGTGCTTTATCTTGTTAACCAAGGAGTTTGGTGGGGTGTAGCTGGCAAGAGTGCTCCCTTGCACGCATGTTATAAATATTTCTCCTGACGGGGTGGAAAACATGCACTCATGAGTACCCCTCAAGTGTGAAGTGCATAGTTCCGTGTGACCTGTGTTCATTTAAAATCCTTAGCAATAACAGAAAGTTCTAAAAGCAAAAACTGCCCAGCATTATGCAGAAGTAACTGGTACTATTTAGAAAAACTTCCTTCCCTTCAGTGTCTGACTGCATCAGGACACTGGAAGATACATGAGGACAAAGTATTTGTAAAAATCTTTCCATAGCTCATAATGCTCAATATTAGAAGGATCTAGGATTTGAATTCTAATAGAATTAATTTACAGCCCCTAATTTTCCCTGTGTACAATTTCCTTCCTGCCTGTGATCTTTAATTTTTAGATTCCATGTTGAGTTAATTTTCCTAACTCCCCACTGACTCTCAAATTGGCTCTCATTTCCCTCCCTACAGAAGCTAAAGATTTTATTTTTCCAATTAATTCTAACGGTCTTTTAGAAAAAATAATTGTACAAATTAGGAAATCTGAATCCAGAGAAATTCACTGGCCTGACAAACTCATATTCCCCTTAGAGGTAAAGCCAGGATTTCAAACATGATCTTTCCCTGAGGGTTAGACATGAAAGAGACCTCCTCTGATGCCTTGTGTCCCAGAACCACAGGTGACACCAGGGAGAGGGAGCAGGAGTTGAGGTTGGGGGTTCCCCACTGGGACATTTGTGTGCTCACAGTCTTTTAGTTTCATTGGGCCACTATGTAACCCTTGAGAAGGTGGAGTCGAACAAGGGTGGGGGTGAAGGACAGCGACTGGAGAAAAGTCATGAAGCTTTCAGTCCTGTAAAAGGGAAGGGAGAAAAGGGGAGACCTGAAGTCCTTTTAGCTCCAAAAGTGACAAAAGCTGGAGACTTTACTGGGCAACGTGTATAAGAGGGAAACATGTGGCATCACAGCCCAAAGACACAAACTGGGGACCAGATTTGGGTGAGGGAAGTATAATCAGTGGGTTGGGAACTGGAATTCCCAGTACTTAGTTGCATCACTTAGCAGGTGTGCACAGGCTCTGGAAATGCCATGAAGTTTCATGAGGGTAGGTGTGGGTGCTGGGGACATTTATGTAACAACCCAGGTAGGGCCCACATGGCCATGACAAGACCTGCTCCACAAAGTAAAAGTGACACAAGCTTCAAAAAATTTAAGATTGTTGAGAAATCCTACTCCCTTCCCCATACATCAAATGGAATCAAAACATATCTGCCCCTTTTAATTAAAACTAGGGTTCAATCCAAGGAGTTCCATTTCTGCAGTGGGCCCATGGCTGTCATCTTTGCCACAGCACAGTACTTATCGTTTTTCCTAATACCTGATTACTTTCTTTATTACCAGATTCTCACACTTTGCAGCATCTCAAAGCCCTATGCTTCTTATACCCAGAACATGCTAAGCCACAAGAGACACAGAAAGCAGTCCTCTACAAAGGGGCTGTGCTCATTGACACAGACTCCAGCCACACTGGAGAGAATGAAGCCCCTGCTGCAGGACAGAACTGCCAGAATTGAGGGGCTGTTGCCTGCCAGGCACATGGAGCAGGGCTCCTCCACATAGTGCCGCCTCAGATGTCAAGGAGGAGGCTTCACAGATGTAGAATGAATTTAATTTATGCCACCTGGTCCTGCAGAGATGACAGCTTGGGGCACGGGGAAGAAGCACTTAGTAGCTCTCCTAGATTTTCGTGCTGTGCACTAAATTAAATATTTGTCACATGGTTTACCTGTGAAGTGCCGAGACTGACCTCTCAGGAAAGGCTCAGAGGATTGGCTCCCGGTGTTCCTATCCAGGCTGGCAGTGTGGTGACACTTAGACATATACGGCAGGGAAATGTTTTTCTAATTTCTATAAATGTGTGACCTTTTACCTGCTAAACGGTCATGTACACATTGTTCACTTTAATTAATTTCATTTTATTAAAGTCATGGAGAGCAGAAAGGGCCTTTGGAAATTTAATATAAATTGTGATGACACACAGCTTAAGTGGTCCCGGGAGGAAATAAATAATTTTAAGCAGCATTATAATTAAATCAGAGGGAGATATTTTAAATCCACTGATCCAGAGTTAAGCCTTCTCTCTTGTTAGAGCCTACGGCCCCTTCCACCTTCCATTGTACCTGAGCATTCCAAGATCCCCAATTTCAAGCACAGCTATGGTCTAAATTTCTCAGACCCAAATACATGCTGCTTATTAATAAGTATGTTTTGCCATTACCTTCCTGAATTTGTAGATTATGAAGAATAAAAACTGTATCTGACCTGTGTCGTGTTCTCCTGACACTTGACTTAAGGGCTCACTGATGGACTTCCTTAATAAAATGTTTGTGATTCATTTTAAGAAAGACAAAATATTTAAAAAGTGTTATATGGAAAACAAAACCAAATATAGCGAGCAATAATCAACCAACACAAAGTTGAGAAAATACGGATATGTCAAAAATGGTGAAGGAAAAAACCTGCAGAAAAATAGCAAAACCAGAAAAACAGTCTCAAGTTTCAGTTCTTTGAATACTCTGCAAAGTGAGCCTGTGTGCGCATATGGTAGAAATGAAGAAGGCCTCCAAAGGTAAAAGCACGGTTCCAAGCGAGGAAAGGGAAGACAACTCCCAGCCTGGCGGCCGAGGCAAGATACTCATGCCCATTAGTTGATTCAAGACATAACAAAAGTGCAGTCCGAGTAAGCGTGCACTGAGATGGGCATCCTTCTGCCCTGATTCGCTGCGGTGTAATCAATGACTGAACACTCTGTCGTGTGCTCATTCAGCACGCACTCTGGGCTTCCAGCGTTTTGCAGATGTCTTTCTGGGAGCTAGGGATGAAGGCTGAACTGAGTGGACATCGTTCTATGTTCACTGGGCATTCACTCCATTGAAAGAAGCGGGGGAATGAGAATCGCACTTCAGCCCAGTGAGTGCCGCCCCAGAAGAAGTAAGAGGAGAGGGGCAGAAGCAGGTGCACACGGCTTGGACTTTCCAAGATAAATGTCATGCAAATTGGCATCCACAGGCTAAGGCTAAGAAGCAATTAACAACCAGAAAGCAGAGCAGGGCAGGACCAAATGCCTTTTCTTTTTCTTCTTTGTTTCTTTGTTTCTTTCTTTTTTTTTTTTTGGTACTGGGGATTGAACTCAAGACCTTGCCAGGCAGGTGCTTATGTGGCTGAGCTATCTCCCCAGCCCTCAAGAGGTTTCTTTGCATCTGAGGAATTATTATTTGTTTCATATTCTAAAAGTTTAGAGCCCTTAGGTACATTACTTATTTCCCATGTCTAAGTAGTATCTTGTTCTCACCCACTTAATACACAAATATCTTACTGCCTTTATTGTATAAAACTTATTTACATATTTATTTACTATGAATTGTTGAGCCTCGACCATGTGACTAACTTGTTCTAGGGACTTGTAGACATTTGCAAAATATTAAAGATGGTCTCAACGAGTGTGCAGTGGTCCTCTTATACACTACCCACTCCGTCAGTTAGCAGTTACCTTGGTTACCAGCGCAAGTGTTGGGTTACTAAAGTGCTTCTGTTTAAGTAACCCTTATTTCACTTAATGACTAACACAAAGTATAAGAGGGATTGTGCTGGCAATTCTACTCAAGAACGTTTTGTTGTATTTTATTGTTCTGGGCTAAGTTGAAAGATAGACAATGTAATAAGGGACATGAGAATAGGTCCTGACTCTGAAGGTGCAGGCTTGAGCACAGGTGAAGGGTCACTGTGATTTAAGCTAAGGAAAAGGGAGAATAGAAAAGGTCTTGGGTAAAAGCAACCAACAGCTTGTATTTGAAGGCTCTGTGAAGTATCATAACAGAGATGAGGCAGTCAGTAAAGATATTTGGTTCAAGAAACAGATACGGCAATGGAACATGTATTTGTCTAGAGAGAAAGTGTGAAGAGTAAAGAGAGCTAAATTCATGATTCTACCCAGAAAACTGAGACATTTTCATATCAAGTTGCAAAGAAAGATTATTAAGTGATGACGAGGAATAACTGGATGATAGCTCAGTAAGGAGGGTGAGTTGGATCATGGAAATCAAAATAGCATTTTGAGCAGAGGACAGGATGAAAAGTGCCAAATGCTGTTGAGCCGTCACAAGAACTTAGGAAGGACAATTGGTGAAGGGTCAGGGTGCGTTGTGTATTTAGCGTCAGTGCAGGTGAGAGATGGTGGCAGCCTTAACTAAGAAATAAATGTTAAAGATGGAGAGCAATGGAGTCAATTTAGAAGTATTTGGAGATTAAGTTTGCAAACATTGTTGATTTATTATGCACTATGAATAAAGAGAGAGGAGTCAAAGTTTACGGCCAGGTTTCTACCACACAACTAATTCTTGAGCAGTGTCACCAGTTTGGGGAATGAACAGGTTATGTTGGAGGATGATGAATTCAGTGAATTTATTTTTAATTTTAAAGAGAACAGAAAATAAAAAAGCATTTAAAATGAAATGGAATTTAAAAGATGATAGGAAATCAGCAATGGTTTTTATATGGATGGCATATTGTTATCTTCAAAGTAGTTATTCAAATTACCAGATATAGGCATGTAAAATTGATGAAAAATTTAAGCATTAACTGTTCCTTTCAATAAACCAATAAAAATTAGTAGTACAATTGTCTTAGCTATCTGTCATCTATCTATCTATCTATCTATCTATCTATCTATCTATCTATCTACCTATCTACCTATCTATCTATGTACCTACCTATCTATCTTTCCCTTTTTTCTTTTCTCTTTTCCTTCATCCCAGTTGTTTTTGAGCAGTTTCTTTTCCTTTCACAGTACCTATTGTACCTTTCTGATTTTATGTATTCTTTCAGTGCCTTCCACTAGGGAGACAATGTGATGTTTACACATG